TTTACTTGTAAAAAAAAAAAAAAAATTAGAATTTCTCATTTACATCCACGTTTATTAATTCTCAATTAATGATCATTCATATTCACATTCATTTAATAAATATCAATTAGAAATTCACATCTAATAATGATGTTCATTATTTATGTTCATTTATGTTAATTAGCATTCGGTTTCAATTAATTGAAAACTAAATTGTTTTAATTTAATATAAATGATTTAACATTCATTCATTCATTCATTCTCTCTCTCTCTCTCTCTCTCTCTCTCTCACACACACACACACATATTCATTGATATTAATATTAAATTAATTAACATTCAAGTTAATTCATATATCGTATTTGTCATTAATCTTTATTTATATATTTAGTCATAATTCTAATACTCACATTCAAACATGCATATCGCTATTTACATTCATATATAATAGCTAACATTTATTTTCAAGTGTTTACATTTCTCTTATATTTAGATCAAATTAGTAAATGAAGTGTCAGATATTACTTTCACGATACTTATAAAGTATTTTAAAATAACGTGTCATGCACGTTCAACTCTAATCAGTTAAAAAAATTACGTAAAATTTATAGTTTCAACGTATATTAATTAAAAAAAATTTAAATCTGTATGAAGATAGAATTAAATCTATCTTCATGGGACGGATGGAGTATTTAATAATTTTCTTAACGCATGGAATGGTGTAATTAAATGAGTCAAAATCACCTGGATAGTGTCATTGATTTCCTAATTAATTCCTACCTCCCAACGAACCTACACCAGCTAACCTTAGCCGACCGCACACTTAATTTTCATTTCCAACTCACATCCTCCCCCATACAAAATCCTACTACAATTATTGATTTTAACAACCAATAATTTTTATACACTCTTCTCACCCACGTATTGAATCGTTCGCGTGAACTCTACTCGCTACTGCATTGGTCATATGCCATTCCCTTGTCTTTGCTGCTGTATTGAGCTTGTACCTTGGACATGGCTTTATCGCATTAACGTATAATTAAAAATGAGTTTAAAGAAAAATGAAAATTGAATTATCAGATAATATATGACTCATTATTGAGACAATAAAACGTGATAATTTGACATATTTTTCTTTATATAGATTAATTTAATAGTAGATAATGCGATCTAAAATTTGGAAAACCCGATAAGGTAATATGGAAAATTCTCAATTTTTTTGAATTCAAGATTTTTCAGCATGTTAAGGCTATGTTTGGTACTAATTTTCATTTTCAACAGTAAATCAATTCTCATTTTCAACCACACATTCTTCAATAAAATAATATTTTCTATCACATCAATAATCTTATCTTCTTTTTCAAACACACATTTTCCATCATATCACTATTCAAAATCA